GTCTCCCTTCACCCACTTTTCTGTTGTCCATCCCCCAGGGAGGAGGATATATATACATCCCTGTAATCGGTTCCCCCTTTCTACCCCACCCTCCCAGTATTGCCACTCTCACCACTGGTCCTGAAGGGATCATCCGCCCTGAATTCCCTTTTCCAGTTTCCAGTGTTTCCAGTTCCTGTCTGTATCAGTGTACATCCTCTAGTCTAGCTGGATTTGTAAGGTAGAATTGGGATCATGATAGTGGGGGTGAGGAGCCTGATGGGGGAAGCATTAAAAACTAGAGGAAAGTTGTATGTTTCATCATTGCTACACTGCACCCTGACTGGCACGTCTCCACCTTGCAACCCTTCCATAAGGGGATGTCCAGTTGCCAACAGATGGGCTTTGGGTCCCCACTCCGGATGGGGAAATAGATCTATGTGCATATATTTATAGGTTTAGTATTAAGACAGCAGATTGACATTGGGCCTTCACTCAAATACTCCCTCAATGCAAGAATACTTTGTTCTATTAAACTGGCATTCCATGATGCTCACCTTCGCGACAATCGCTGAAGACAAATGGGTGCCTAAGCAAGCGTGGTGAAGAAAGCTGATGGTGCTCAGCTTTCAAAAGATAGAGTATCTGAGGTCTTAAAGACTTGAAGGTAAATAAGCGGCCATCCAGCTTGGAAGCAACAAAGCCCACATGGAAGAAGCACACCAACCTGTGTGGTGACGAGGTGTCGAAGGGATGAAGTGTCAGGCATCAAAGAACTAAATGTTATACTGCATGGTTTGATAATGTAATAGTTGTGGCTTTTGAGACAGTTTTATTTGTAAGTCTTTAGATAATTATTTCATTTGTAAGAATATAACTTCTAATATTTTATAGGATTTTGGTATCATTGTGACCATTCTGACTCCTGGCCATACCATGTATAACAGAATTCTTGAGCCATCCTCAAAATTATATTTGGATTCATTGTTGCAGTCAGTGTTTCAGTCCATCTCCTTGAGGATCTTCCTCTTTATTGTTACCCTTCCATTTTACTAAACATGATGTCCTTGTCCAGGTACAGGTCTCTCCTGATAACATATTCAGAGTACACAAAGTTTTGCTGTCCTTGTTTCTAAGGAGTATTCTTTTTTTTTTTTAATCATTTTATTGGGGGCTCGTACAACTCTTATCACAATCCATACATAAATCGATTGTGTAAAGCACATTTGTACATTTGTTGCCCTCATTCTCAAAACATTTGCTCTAAGGAGTGTTCTTATTATATTTCTTCCAAGACAATTTGGGGTTTTTCTTTTGAAAGTTCATCATACTTTCAAAAATTTTTTGCCAGTACCATAATTCCAGTGCCTTGATTCTTTAGTCTTCCTTATTAAATTTCCAACTTTCAAATGCATGTGAAGCACATGATTGAAAATCCCATGGCTTGTTGCAGGCATACCTTAATCCTCTTTAGTAATATCCTTGCTCTTCAGTACTTTAAAGAAGTCTGTGCAGCAGATTTATCTAGTGATCTCTTTAGTAGTACTGCCATAAGCACTGATTGTGGATCCAAGCAAGACAGAGTCCTTGAGAACTTGATTGATCTCTCTGATTCTTACGATGTTATCTGTTGGGTCCAATGTTGAGGATTTGGTTTTCTTTACATTAGGATGTAATCGATGTTGAAGGCTGCAGCCCTTGATCTTTATCAGCAAGTCGTTTGTTTCACGTCTAACAAGGAAGGTTGTGTCATCTGCGTATCTCAGGTTGTTAATGAGCCTTCCTCCAATGTTGATTCCATATAATAAACCAGATTCTCTGATTATTTGCTTAGCATATAGATTGCATAAGTATGGTGAGAACATAAGCCCTGATATACACCTTTCCTGATTTTAAATCATGCAGTATCACCTTGTTCTAGTCGCCCAATTTCCTCTTGAGCATGTACAGGTTCTGGATGAGCACAATTTAGAGATCTGGAATTCCAACTGTTCTGTGTTATCCATAATTTGTTCTTAGCCACAGTTGAATACCTTTTCACAGTAAACACAAGCAAACGTTTTTCTGTTATTCTTTGCTTTCAGCCACGATCAATCTGACCTAGTAGATGATATTCTTTGTACCACATGCTCTTCTGAATTCAGCATGTTTCTGGCATCTTTCTGTCATGTATTGCTGGAACATTTTTTAATCTACAGGAAATTTTACTTGCTTGTAATATTAATAATATTGTTTGATACTTTCAATAAATTCTTTGGAAATTGGTACAAATATTGATCTCTCCCATTCATTTGACTATTTTGCTGTCTTAAGTATTTCATGGCATAGGCTAGTGAATGCTTCCAGCGCTTCGTCAGCATGATGAATGATTTCAGTTGGTATTATCAATTCCTGGAGCCTGATTTTGGCTAAGGCTTTCAGTGTAGCTTAGACTTCTTCCTTCAATTGCATCCATTCCTGATTACATGCTACCTCTTGAGACTGTCACCTCGTTATTTTTGGTACAGTTGAATGTCACCAGTTATTTTTGGTATTGTTACTTTTTCCTTCTTCCTTCACCCTTTGATGCTTCCTGCATCCTTGAATGTTTTGCCCATGGAATCTTTTAACACAGTATTTCAGAGGCCTGAACTTTTCCTTTAATTCTCTCAGCTTAATGTATGCTTACCATTTTAGACCTTTTTGGATTTAGAATTCTGGGGGTTTTTTTAGAATTCTGTCTTTGTGTATTTCATTATAATACTGTGTATTCTCAAGCTACCCTTTAAAAAATTTTTTTCCTGCTCATTGCTTCACTTTCTAACATTTTTTTAACTTCTGTATGATCAAGAACAAGTTTCAGATTCTATTCTGACCTCTACTTTAATCTTTTTTTAAATTTCTTGTGTTTTAAACCACTTTTTTCTTACTTCATGGATGATGTTCTTGATGTCATGTCACAGCTCATCGGGTCTTCTGTCATTTTTCAGTACGTCAGATCTGTTCTTAAGTGTTCTCCAAATTCAGGTCGGATAGACGCAAAGTTTTAATTTGGTGTTTGTGAACGTGCTTGAATTTTCTTCAACTTAGATTAATCCTGTATATGAGTAACTGGCCTTGTTGTCAGATAATATTGAGCTTCCTCATGGTCTGTTCCCACAGATGTAGTCAAGTTGACCATTTTGTTGTTGAAAAAAAGCTATTTGTGATGAATCATTGGTCTTACAAAACTATCATGGAATCTCCAGCTTTGTTTATGTCACTAACATCATATTTTCCCACTATCATTCCTCCTTCATTCACAGTGATTGTATTCCAGTCCCCAGTAATTGTCAGTGAATCTCAAATACATGTTTGATCAATGTCAGAGTGAAGACGTTGATAGAATTCTTCAATTTCTGCATCACTAGTTTTAGTAGTTTGGTGTATAAACTTGAATGATAGTTTTATTAACTGGATTTCCACTTATCTATCAGTTTGTCAGACAGTATTGCCTTAGGTGTTGCTGTGATGCTTGAAGTTATGTCATCGGAATTTCAAATACCAGCAGTGTCACCATGGGAAACAGGTTTTAGATAGAGCTTCCAGATTAAAAATTGACTGTGGAGGAAAAGTAGGCTGTCCACTTCTGTGGACTTAGCCACTGAAAACCTTACAAATGGCAACAGAATATTGTGAAATACAGTGTGGAAGATGAGCCCTTCATATGAGCACTTAAAATGTGACTTAGGAAGAGCTGCCTTCTCAAAGTAGAGTAAGCCAGGCTGTGAATGGAATAAAGCTGTACGGACCTTCATTTACTAATGGGTCATGACTCAAAATGATAGGGCTGTAGCCATGGGAAATTGAAATATATGAATTATGAATCTGTGAGAATTGGAAGTCATCAAAATGAAATAGAATGCATAAAGATTGATATGTTGGGCATTATCTGAAATTAGTTGTGGCCATTTTGAATCAGACAATCATGCTTTACTGTGCTGGCATGACAAATTCAAGGAGTGTGGTATCTCATCAAAAACTACTTTTGAAGATCTATCTTGATGTACAATGCTGTCATTGACAGGATAATGTTTATATGCATATAATGAGGTTAATGTGATTAGATGTATTGAATAGTGTTATTTTTCCCAACCAGAATGATTCTTTTGTTCTGAAAACATTGTTGCGAGTTATGAGGGTTTTCAGGCTTTTACAAAAAAACTTACAAAACTAATACTATGGTATAGTAAGTCATGTGTCATCCATTAAATTCTCCAACCCTTTCTTTTCTAGTATAAAGAGTATGGTGCTTTTACTGTGCTTGTTGACAACTATGTGAAAGAGGAGGAAGGCACTGGAGTTGTACATCAGGCTCCTTACTTTGGTGCTGTAAGTAATGTAAATCTTGCAATAGTATTTATGAGCATGAAATGTCAGAGGCCACTTTTTGTGCATGGTGAGCTTTGGGTATAATTGTTCTTGCTTTTTTTGGACCATGAGGTCTGTCTACTCTAGCTCAGTGCCTCTCGAGACTGTTTATAAAATGTACATCTACCTTGCTAGTATTCCTCTGGACCCTGATCGGACTTTGGAAAGCGGTCAGTTAAACCTAAAGTACTGGAGAGGCAATAGAGTCTTTCTAATAAAGCCTAAGAAGTGTCTTGCCTTTTCTCATAATTTATGTATGATAAATTTGTGCTCTTTTTGATATACATTTGTAATAGTTTTGGCAAGTGCAGAATGAAGCAGTCATCACAAAAATTAAAATGTGCAATAATCCCATTTCCTCTGATGTGTTTTTGACTAAATGCTGCATGTAGTTTCCTGAAATTGGTCAGAAGGGAGAATTTGATCTCTCCACTCAGAGTGGTACTTTATGGCTAATTGCACATTTTGCCCTGAGTATATTTGCTGTAAACTAGATCATATCTTAAATTATGTCCTACTACTGATGGGCAATTCTTGCATATCCCGTAGCCATTTTATACCCCTCCTCCTTGAACCAGATAGCAATACCTACTACTTATTTCAGTGATTGTGAGGCTTAAATAGATGCCTTTCTATCAGATGTTTCAAACAGGGCCTCCGAGGGCCTATAGCTTCCTTGTTTGTACTTTACCACCTGTTGATGAGAGCGTTTATAGTTTTCTTCAAAGGGCAGTGAAACTAATGTGTTTCAGTTTGTCATTTTTTCTACTTCATCTCTGAAGGGTTTTTTATTTTAGAAAATTTCAAATGTATATAAAAATAAACAGAATGACAATAAAGCTGGCGATGTAATAATAATCTATATGAAATGTATGAAAATAATAATCTATAACTTATCAGGTTCATGAGGGAGGGCAGACAGGAGGGAGGGGAAAAAATGAGCTGATATCAAGGGCTCAAGTAGAAAGAAAATGCTTTAAAAGTGCTGATGATGGCAGCATGTGTACAAATGTTCTTGACACAATGGATGGATGTATGCATTATGATGAGATGTAAGAGCCCCCAATAAAAGTATTTTATAGTAAAAAAAAATAATTACAATAAATCCTTAGCATTTACCTCAGCCAGCCAGCTTCATTAATTACCAGCATTTTGGGAATCTGTCATGTCTTTCCCTACTTCCTATACTTTCTTATTTAGGCTTGAAGATTTTAAAATATAATCAACATCTTTTGTTTCATTTATAATAAATGCTTTTCTATATATCTTTGATTGAGAAGCTTTTATATATCTACCATGTCATATTCTTTTTTTAAAATCATTTTATTGGGGGCTCGTATGACTCTTATCATAATCCATACATACATCCATTGTGTCAAGCACATTTGTGCATGTCGTATTTTTTGCCTAATAAAATGTATATATATTTCCTTACTATCACCTAAAACCCGGTTCATATAATAATTTGATGGAAGCAGGTTTTTAATACTACTTAATAGATTTTTAGGAATAAGTAGTAAATATTGATTTTTTAGGACATAGTTACATAATAATTTAAAATCAACTGGTATGGCTAATCCAATTGGATGTAATAAAAATAAAATCTGGATTTTGAATGATATATTTTTCTCTTTATATTTGGAGATTCTCCATTTACTAAAATAACATCTCCTATCTGTCCTGAATGTACATATTCATTTATAGATGAGCAAGTGTTTAAACTGTTGCCGTACTCTAGCTATTATATATTAACATTTACATTGCTTGTGTCTGAGCTTGGCAGGGAGACCCTGTACACACCTCACTATGTAGCTCTGTTAGCATTGAGAGAGGTGACCAGACGTCCAGATGGAAGCACATCAACTTTGCAGCTTGTCTTTGAGTCAGACTGGATATGGTTTGGTTTAAACTCCAACAGTCAGTTTTCTTGTAGATTAAGGCAGCACAGCACAGTAGTTAAGACTTTAGCCTCTTTAGCAAAATTGCTTGGTTTTGAATCCTAGCAATTGTTGGTTTTTATGAGGGAGCCCAACTTTAAAACCTAGTAAACCTACCTTGCTCACAGACTTGTTGTTATTAGGTGAGTTAATATAGTAAAACCTACTAGTATGTGATGTAAATGGCTTTACAAGTTTTCTGATTATGATTGCTAACACTGTTAAAAATGTATTTATGAAATACATACATTTTATTAGAACATGTATTAGAACCTTGGTTAAACTGTACCACCTAAAAGCTAATTTACTAACTTGTAAATAATAGATTTAAGTCAGTCTTGCCATTCCTTGGGTGCTCTGTGACAGGATGCAAGTCCTTACATACATCAAGCATGCCCTGGCATTGATCTGGCAGTGCTTTATACTTGTATGCACATCTGATTTTCAGATGTGCACATAAGTACGACATTCATATGTATTACGTATCTTCTCATTAGTCGAAGCTAACAATTGTAAGTTCATATGTAGATTACTCTGAAATAAAGTATGGGAAGAAGCATATATGATCTAATTACATTCTTATGAAGCTCTGCCATTCTCTAATCAGCTCCTATGGCAATTTCAGTTAGGATGATTAAGCTTGATTCCATCCATTTTTCAGAACATTGAAAATGTTTTTATGTCTGTTGCCTCATACTCTCTTTAGTTCCTCTATCCTTCCACATACACATACTTATGTGGTTTGTTATTTTTGATATTTATTTCCCTACCTTCACTACCCTTTTTCTCCAGGATGACTATCGGGTCTGTATGGACTTCAATATTATTCAGAAGGACTCACTGCCTGTTTGCCCTGTTGATGCGTCAGGATGTTTCACAGCAGAAGTGACAGATTTCATGGGACAGTATGTGAAGGTCTGTATTCAATATGGTCACTTTGATCATACTTCTTTGAGTAGCCACTTTCTGATAAAATAGGTTTCATCTTTAGATTTCTCAATTTATTTTCTTGTGACCTCTAATAGCATACTGGGGCACATGTTCGACTGCTAACCACAAGATGAGCTGTTCCATCGTACTGGCCACTCTACAGGATAAAATGAGCTTTTTGCTCCCATAAATAAATATGTGCAGCCCTGCAAACCCACAGGGGAAGTTCTCTGTCCATCTCTGAGTCATAATCACCTTGATTGAAGTGATTTTCATTTTGGAGTTTGAAGTGCTATGCAAAAAAGACCTGTCAAATTTCCTTCCCACTAATTTGAAACTTTATAGTACAGTTCTTCATTGAAATAATTGAGGCTGCCATGAGTTGTAATTGACACCAACTTATTTAGTATCTTAGAGGACAAATGATTGAATTTTATAAGTTCAAGTAAGAGAAAACAGGTTCTGGTTTCTGCTTTGAAGCTGCTTTGCAAGTTTGGTGTAGTCATTGCTGATTGGAAAAAAAGTTTTACTAAAACCTTATACTACTAGGGTTCTATTTTGTACGTGCACAGATTTATTCTAAAAAAGTCATGTCTCTGATCAGTGAATGATTAAAGAAATTTTCAGTAAAAAAAATTTGTCTTAGTCTCATTAGTGTACGTTTTTTAAAAAAATGTTTGGGTGCCATGGAAACAATGTAATTTTACAATAAGATTTAAAGTAAAATTTTGAGTAAATTTCAAGTGGTGCTCTTCTCAAACCATTGACAGTTTTCACCATGTTTACGGGAATGCTGCCCAACATAAAACCACAGCTTTTAAATGGATCACAAATGTTTTGGTAGTCAGGTAGATTTTAAAGATGAGATGAGAGGGAATACCATCAACCTTGACGAATGAAGGAACTGACCTGAAGTCCAGAAACTAGAGAATGAGGGCCATAGAATTGCCATTGATGATAACATGACTAACGTTGGGGATCTTAAGTCCTTTGGCATTGATAAGTGTAAGGGGTTAATCTTAGCTGCTGAAAACTTTCCGCCTGATGGGTAGCTAAAAATATCAGCCAGCTCTGAACCAGTTGTTCCATCTTTTAAGCAAGATCAAAAATAAATAAAGATTTTTAAAAAACACATTTTCATTGGCAACTAATCCACTTATCATACCATAAATATGGCTTAATGGGACAAATTATAACTGGGAAAAAGTCTTGTGTTTATCGATAAAATCTAGAGAACAAAGTTAAATCAAAACAAAGATTTTTGAGGAAAATCTGGGCTACTTAAATTCAATGCAGAGTTCTCAGAAAAATTATGGCAGCTTTATGGGGGAGATTCCCAAAGGTTGGCTTGATTAATTTTCGACACAGGATGATCCTGGGAGTAACAAAGTTTTAAACCAATGGGGAAGTATGTTTGTGGGTAAAAAGGCTAGGACCTCATGGAATTTAATCCCTTCCTCACTGCCTGTTTTTCATGGTTACCTAGGACCGTCCTAAGAAAATTTCCTTGAGAACGCGTATTCCCATTGACCCTACAGGCCTGCTCTTGTCTCTACAGGCTTCTTTTAGTTTATCCAACTAATAGACTGTTGGAAAGAAGTGTAGCTTGGGTCTCTCAAGGGTGGCAAAACTGCCCTCTTACTATAGCATACATGGAAGAGCACAGCATTCTTTGAAATTGGGTTAGAGAGCTGTGAATGAGACTTTCAGAAGTATATCGGTCTAGATGGAGGATATGGTAAGCAATAGCTTCACATTTTGAAAGTTTTAAAAATAAAAGTTTTTATGACTTTGGAGCAATACCTTCTTACTCACGCTACCGCATATGTTTGTTATTTTTCCCTCATTCATAATAGAAGGCGCATGTGACTTAATGGTTATGCATTGGGCTGCAATCTACAAAGTCAGTAGTTTGAAATGACCAGTTCTTCCTCGGGAATTCTACTCCCACAAGGAGTCACCGCCTTAGACACTGACAGGGACATTTCTGCACTGTCCCACAGGGTTGCTGTCAGGCCGCATAGACCCAATGGGAGGGAGTTTGGTCTTGGCTCTTTGTATTAGAGGCAAGAAAATAATAGATTTTAGTGATCTATTTAATGATGTTCTGACATTAATACTGTAGAATACTAATGGCTAGATTTATTGATTTCTTTAACAGGATGCTGACAAAAATATCATCCGGACCCTGAAGGAGCAAGGCCGCCTTCTTATAGCCAGCACCTTTACTCATAGCTACCCTTTTTGCTGGAGGTAAGTTAAGACTATGCTAGAACTTACTGCCTGTGCCATCCTATTTGTAGTGTTTCCGAACATTTTTGTATGCTCTATAGCTAGTATTTTGAAACTGGCTTCTTAATTTATTAACTTTTATTGTGAGTTAGATGGGGGTTTGCACATTCACTTTATCATTTTTGTATTAATTCATTAAACCTTAAAAGCCTCGAGTGGAAACCCCACTTCCCCTTTTTCTCTCGTCCCTCTTACAGGATATTATTTTCCCCTTCATCCAAGTTACCACCTGTTTACCTTCACCTTCCTTCCCACTCATGGTAAACATCAGTCTGTTTCTTTTAATAATAAAACCTAAATCTTGATATATTTTTTATTATTTTATAACTGATACAATACTTGCCCTTTGTGATTAGCTAACTTAACTCAGTAAAAACTCCAAAGCTGTCCATGTCATGAGGAGTTTCACAGTACATGATGATTTAAATTTCTCCACACCCTCTTCAACATACTTTTTTTTTTTAATTATTGCCAGTGTGAGGTGCTATCCTCACAGTTTTCATTTGCATGGTCTTTTGCGTTTATTGGCATTTTTGTTTTCATTTACATCTTTTGAATGCCAAGTGATTGTGAGCATTAACATGTTTGCTGGCTACCTGGGGCCTTCTTTGAACCTTCTATTAATGTTGTGCATTTTAAAAACGAGATCACTTATCTTTTTCTTATTGAGGTATTACAGTTTTTTATAGCTTTTAAAAATTAGTCTCTTATCTGATATATCATTGCCAATCCCCACCCCCTACCCCCCATTTTCTCTTTACTCTCCTGAAGAAGTCTTTTGTTGCACATAAGTGTCATCTTTTTTTTTTTTAAGTGTCATATTTTTAGGAGGTCCCAGTCATCTATTTTGTCTTCTGCTGTGGGTTCATTTTTCATTATGTTCTATGATGGTTAATCATTGGGCTGCCAGCTATAGGGTTAGCAGTTCAAAACAACCTGCTCCTCGGGAGAAAGAGAAAGCTGTTCCTCAGGAGAAAGAAAGTGAGTTAGATTTTTGTGCCAACCTGGCCGATGATAAACACATGTGGGGTTAATTGAAGGGCGGAGGGATAAATGGCTCAGTAAGCCGCCCCTTTCTAGTTCTCTGGTCTTGCTTTGTGATGGTCGGACCAGGGTGCAACTCCTTAGCCAGTTCCTTGCTTTAGCTGGCAAGGCTTGCCAGTTCACCTCCTGCAAGACGTCCCTGAGGAGAAGCCACATGGACTTACCCCGATGCAGCCCTGGGTGCTGGAGCACCCATGTGGAGACCCCTGCCAGCTCTGAGAGGCTTACACATTCACTGACTCGGCTTTCCTCTTGCAGTCGGTATCATTACGTCTGTTTTGTGAGATGGAGGAGGACTTTGTGGACTGGTGTTGGACATATGGACATATGGGTTAATGTTGGACTTGTGGGCTTGGGCAGCACTGGGTTGGGATGTTTTCTTGATGCACATTTAACCTTTATATAAAACTCTTATCTTTATACATGAGTTTCTGTGGATTTGTTTCTCTAAAGTACCCAGACTAACACAACAAGGCTTTCCACACCTGGAAAGTTAGACTCGGAAACCCACATGGATAATTTTATCCATTTCAATAGGATTGTTGTGAGTCAAAATCTACTCATTGGCAGTGACTTTTGAGTTTGTGTTTATTTTCTTGTTTATGTTCTCTATGGTTTACATTTAAATTTTTAATGGATCTTGGGTTCATTTTTTGTAGATTAAGTGAGGTATGGGTCCTGTCTCAACCATCTACAAATAGAAATTCAAGTGTGTGAGCACTATTTGTTGAGATTATCTCTTCCCCATTTAATGTATTTCAGCTCTTTGTCGAAAATCAATTGTCTATTGGTAGATGGATTAATTTCTGTGTTCTCTATTCTGTTCAGTTGACTTATACATTTACTGCTGTACCAGTGCCAGGCTGCTTTGATAACCAACTATGTAGTGGGTTTTGAGATTGGGAAAGTGAGAGACCTTCTACTTTGTTCTTTTGGTATAGTAGTGCTTACCTTTTTCTGGTTCATTTTACGTCCCATCTAAAGTTGGTAATGCATTCTTTTTTAAAGGATGATACTGGCATCTAGATCAGAATTGTTCAGTATTTACAGATTGTATTGGTAGTAGATATATTTTCACAATGTTAAGTCTTCCTATCCATGAATATGCAATATTTATGTAGCTCTCATTTTGTGTCTTGTAGTATTTTGTAGTATTCTTTGTACAAGTCTTTTGTTTCTGTTTAGCTTTATTCCTAAATATTTCATATTTTATCTAACTTATAAATGGTAATGTTTTCTTGATTTCCTTATCAGAGTTCTTTTTGTGTAATACAGTAACTGATTAATTTTTGTATATTGATCTTGAACTGTGCCATGTTGCCAAAGCTTGTTTTATTTTCAACAGTGTTCTTGTCTTCTCATTGGGGCTTTTATATTTAGAATCTTACCATCTGCAACTAGAGTGTTTTACTACCTCTTTGGCAATTTGGATACCTTAGATTTCTTTATGTTGTTTAATAGCTTTTGCTAAGATTCCAACACTACTGAATAAGCATGATAAAGGGAGCGCTGGTGGCATATTAGTTATGAGTCGGACTGCAAGGTCAGTCATTTAAAGCTACTCTGTGTGAGAAAGACAGGCTTTCTTCTCCTGAAAAGAGTTACAGTCTCAGAAACTTTCATTGGCAGTTTTACTGTATCCTGTAGGATCACTCTGAGTTAGTACCAACTTGATGGTGGTGAGTGGGGTGAATTTAGTTATCTGACTCACCTTCACAAGAGGAATGCTTTCATTTCTCCCCTTGGTTTTGCATGTATGGCCTTTATTATGTTGAGAATTTCCTTCTGTTCTTATTTTGTTGAGTGCTTTTTATCAGAAATGGATTTTGGATTTTGACAAACGCTGTTTCTTTATCAATTGATGTAATTTTAGCATTTATTTTGTTTTATTTATATGGTAGGTTTACATGGATTTTTTTTTTTAATTTTTTTAATCATTTTATTGGGGCTCATACAATTCATCACAATACATAGATCAATTGTGGAAAGCACACCTATACATTTGTTGCCCTCATCATTCCCAAAATTCGCTTTCCTTTTTTTTTAAAAAACATTTTATTAGGGGCTCGTACATGGATTTTTTTAAAACATTGTTTTTGTAGTATTGAATGATTTCCACTTGATCATGATTTATTTTTTTTATTTTCTTGGATTCTGTTGGCTAGAATTTGTTGAGGATTTTTGCATTTATATTCATAAAAGATACTTATCTAGTTTCTATTCTGGTACGTTCTAGCATTGTCTTCATATCAGGGCTATTCTTAGTTGATAAAATTGGTTTGGAAGTTTGCCACCCTTGTCTATATTCTGGAATAGCTTGTGTTGAATTTGTGTCAACTTTTCTCTGAATGCTTGGTAGAATTCCCCGGTGAAGCTCTCTACTCTTAGATATATTTTTGTTGGAAGTTTTTAATGGCTTGATCTGTTTCTTCTGTTATGGATCTGTTATGGTGTTCTATTCGACCTCTCTGTAGTTTGATAATGGGTTTCTGTGGGGCCTTGGCGGCATTGTGGTTATACATTGGACTGTAATTCACACCAAAAAATGTCACGTGTCCCCAGTAAGTGCTATTATTTCTGGTAGCCAAGCACCACTGGATTTTTCTTGCCACATTGCTACATCATCATTTCATGTGGGCCAGTATTGAGCAGGGCTTCATTTTACAAACTGTTCTCTGTCAAAAGAAACTCCCTTAATACTTTTTGTAAGGTTTGTCTTGTTTTTCAAATTCTTTTACTCTCTCCATATCTGAAATTTTCCCTGTGGCTTTCTGTATATCAAGGATAATTTTGTGGGATATAAGATTCTTTGTTGACAATGTTTTTGTTTTAGTGTTTTATATATGTCATCCGACTGCCTTCTTAGTTTCATGGTTTTTGCTGAAAATTACTCAATCCCCATATATATAACTTTTATTATTCCTCGAGCTGCTTTTAGGATTCTTTTTTTTTTGTATTGGAAAGTTATCATATGTTATAGTCTATTCTTTTGGGATGTGTACTTTTTTAATGCAAGGAATTGGTTGTAAAAAACAGATGTATGATAGCTGTTTTCTATTGGAGTCTACTTATTTTAGGTTGGCAATATAAATTTTCTAATGTAGCATAATAAAAATTAGATATTATATTTTAAAAGTTGTTAGAAAGATATTGCTTAGAATGATATATGTTCACTGAAATTCCATTCAGTTTACTTGTATCCTCTTTTCTGAAGTTGTCATGTTTTAGACTACTGTCACTTCCTACTCTGAAGTATACATTCTAATCTTATTTTAGTAGCCCTGGTGGTATAGTGGTTATGTATTGGGCTGCTAACTGTAAGGTCAGCAGTTCAAAACCACCAGTTTCTATGCAGGAGAAAGACAAAACTTTCGACTCCAATAAAGAATTGCAGTTTCAAAAACTCACAGGAGCTGTTCTACCCTGTCCTACAGGGTTTCTGAGTTGAAATGGAGTCAACGACAGTGAGTTTGGTTTTTCTTTTTATTTGAGTCTTATTTTACTAGCTCATGCTTTTCTTTGTGTTGTGAAGTGAGATGGCTTGTGAAACTTGCATTTTATCATACCATTTTGTGATCTTTTATTTGTATTACAATAAACATGAATATCAGTAGAAGGCTACATGCCAATGTCTGATCACTATGGTCTATGTCTTTGTGTCCCAGATCAGACACTCCTCTGATTTACAAGGCGGTACCTAGCTGGTTCTTGCGAGTGGAACACATGATAGACAGACTGCTGAGCAACAATGACTTGTGCTACTGGTAAGCAGCCAAACACTGTTATTGGTTTATATTTTCTCAAAAATTATAATAATTTCAGTCGACATTTTATTTTGTATTAAGGCTATTTTGTAAAGAACACAAAATTAAAAGTATTTTAAGAATATGTTTCTGATTCATGGTCCATCCTGATTCATAAGGAGCCTATATAATGTTTCTAATGCTGTAAATCTCTTTGGGAGCAAACAGCCTCATCTTTTTCCCACAGAATGAATCATCAGTTTGATTTGCCAACTATTATATTTAACTTCTCAGTGCCTAATCCATAGCACCACCTGGCCTCTTTATGGCATCTATAAGCACTTTATTTTCTTTTTAAACTCGTTGGAAATAAGAAATTATCCATTATTTAGTTTGTATATTTTAGTTTGTGTGGAGTTTGGCTGTACTCTCATTTAACCTATGATCATATTGGATAAACTTATTTTTTAGTGGTATCTACAAAAAAGTCTTTTATGGAACCCTGTTGGTCTAGTGGTTGTGCGATGGGTTGCTAACCTCAAGGCCAGCAGGTTAAAACTACCATCTGCTTCTCAGGAGAATGACAAGGCTTTCTACTCCCATAAAGAGTTACAGTCTTGAAACACAGAGCAGTTGTATCTTGTCTTTGCTATGAGTTGGCCTCAGCTCAGTGACAGTGAATAAGTAAATGACAAATTCCTTTTGTATTTATTACTTGCACTACTTTTTAATTTTATGGAATAAAATATTGTCTTCACATTGGCTTTATGGATACCAGAGTGTGTATTAAACTTATAGGTGCAAAAGTGAAACTACTTGAATATGTGTATTCTGAAGCAGAGTTTCTTAAACCCTTTGCCGGGGAAATTTGCCATATAGGCAAGCACTGCCAGTATGAATTTATTATGCAGTTTATTGTGAATTTTAGTCACTTTCTCTTCAGAAACCTTTCACTATTACAAACTTTTTCGCTCCCCTCTGATTCAATTATTCAACGTCATATGGAGTCTTGGTACATGTTTTAAGTACCTCTGCTCTAGAAGAATGGTTTTAACGAGTTAGCACATAGTCTTTCTTTCATAAGGACTCAATAGACTTAAAATTACATTTGGTTTTTTTGAGAGTCTCATGATTTAAAAGGAAATGGTTTTAAGCTATAGCTTTATTCTAAAAAGCTAGCATTCCCATCTTTAAAAGTAGTAATGCCATTACATAAATTACATTTAGTTGGGGCTTTAAGGTGCTAGGGACAAATATTAAGTGACTCACACTTTGTATCCCTGGGGGTCTAGACTCTTGAGGGATATTGATTTCTGGTCTACAAAAACTTGTAGTTATTTTGGGTGTAATATAAAATCATGGATTATTAATGTTCTAATATGATTATCTAATTTATTTATTGTAGGGTTCCAGAATTTGTGAGAGAAAAGCGATTTGGAAATTGGCTGAAAGATGCACGTGACTGGGCAATTTCCAGAAATCGATATTGGGGCACCCCTATTCCACTGTGGGTCAGTGATGACTTCCAAGAGGTGAGTCTATAATTTATTTCCTAGTTTCATTTTTACTGAAATACTTTTTCCATGTCATCTAAATCCAGGATAAAAGAAGTTAATTTTATTTTCCTCTACATCTCTCTAGTATTTAAATATTCTGTTTTCTTTCTCTTTTATTGACATGACAGAATAAGAATATATTAAAATTTGTTTAATTTTACTTTAAACATATATTTTAAATGTTTCTTGTATAAGTGAAGAATGTATTTTTAAAGAAATTCTCACATTATAATTGTTTTGTTTGCGCAGATCTTTTGTTGTGCATTATTTTATTTTTAAAATCATTTTATTGGGGGCTCATACAACGCTTAGCATAATCCATACATACATACATTATGTCCAGCACATTTGCACATTTGTTGCCATCATCATTCTCAAAACATCTGCTTTCCACTTGAGTCCCTGGCATCAGCTCCTCATTTTTTCCACTCCCTCCTCGTTCCCCTCTCCCTCATGAACACTTGATAATTTACAAGTCTTTATTATTTGTCATATGTTTCACTGTCCAACATCTCCCTTCACCCACTTTTCTGCTGACCGACTTCCAGAGAGGAAGTTATATGTAGATCCTCGTAATCGGTTTCCCCTTTCTACCCTACCTTCCCTCTACCCTCCTGGTATCACCCCTCTCACCACAGGACCCGAAGGGTTCAAATCTGTCCTGTATTCCCTGTGTTTCCAGTTCCCTTCTGTACCAGTTGACATCCTCTGGTCCAGCTGGACTTGTGAGGTAGAATTGGCATCATGATAATTGGGGAGAGGAAGCATTTAAAAACTAGAGGAAAGTTGTATGTTTCATCATTGCTGCACTGCACCCTAACTGGCTTGTCTCCTCCCCGAGACCCTTCTGTAAGGGGATGTCCAGTTGCCCACACATGGCCTTTGGGTCTCCACTCTGCACTCCCCCTCATTCACAATGGGTGCATTATTTTTTAATAGACTTGTATCCCTGCCATAAGTTTATAATATGTTAAAATATTAGATAGAAAACATTTTTTAAGTTTACTAATGCATTTCAGATCTTTAATTTGTAAATCAAGTGAAAAATAAATATTTCCTCACACACACACAGACACTCCAAGAGCTTTGAGCAGTGATGAAGATAACGATGGGCAATACTGTGACCCATAGATACTTTAAAGATATAGTTAAGTAACCTGACCAAGGTTCAGAAGAAGAATATTTAGAGAAAGAGGCCTTAATTTGCAGACTAACAAAAGCCCTTAAGACAAATCCCTGCAAATGATAACTCTTCATTCTGCATTTTCCAGGTTACCTCATATGTTAGCCACCTTACTGGGGCAGAATCCTAACATCTTACAATCTGTTCTGAATATTTTGTTTTTACTCAAGCATAGTAATTTAGTTCTAGCTTTGACTTCAGTGATTCTAGGGTAAAGAGTTCAAGTGCCAGGAAATACCTAAGATGCCTTAGCACATTAGTTTAAGGCATCTGTTACTTAGGCTGATTGTTCTAAGTAGTGGCTTCATGGAAACATTGAAGTGGAGCAGTAGGTATATGTTATAATGAAGTCTCAATGCTTATCTTCTCAGAAAGTTAACGATAGTCTTTGAGAAACATGCCAAGTTGTTTGTAAATATCCTTGTATCACAGCACAAAATGTCCTGGTGGCACTTTTGCTTAAGCATTGGAGTACTAACCACAAAGTTGTCAGTTCAAAACCATCAGCTGTTCAATAGACGAAAGATGAGGCTCTCGGTTTTAGTTAAGATTTGTATCCTTGGAACCCCTGTACTTTGCTTTCATGAGTTGGAATGTACTTGATGGCAGAAGGCTTGATTTGAGTTTGGCCAGATCACTAGTCCAGGTTAACATGTGAATTAGCTCTTTAAGTAAATCAGTTTTACAAAAACCTAAACATAGAGTGCTATATAAACTTCTTGCATCAGGTCTTTACTTCTGAGGCATTCTAGCTTTTTAACTTTGCTTTTCTTAAAAATCATTTAATTGGGGGCTCATACAACCCTTACCACAGTCCATACATACCTCCATTGTCTCAAGGAAATTTGTACACCTGTTACAATCATCGTTTTCACAGCATTTTCTTTCAACTTGAGTCCTTGGTATCAGCTCCTCATTTTTTCCCCTCCCTCCCCCTGCCTCCCTTCCTCATGAACCCTTGATAATTTACCAATTATTATTTTTTCATGTCATGCACTGTCCGGTGTCTCCCCCCACCCCCTTGTCTGTTGTCCAGTCCCCTGGGAGGGGGTTATAGGTAGGTCATTGTGATCAGTTCCCCCTTTTTTCCCCACACCTTCCCCTTACCCTCCTGGTATGGCTACTCTCAATATTGGTCTCGGGGAGTTTATCTGTCCTATATTCCCTGTGTTTTCAGCTCTTATCTGTACCCATGTACATGCTCTGGTCTAGCCAGATTTGTAAGGTAGAATTAGGGTCATGATAGTTTGCGGGAGGAAGCATTAAAGAACCGGAGGAAAGCTGTGTGTTTCATCGGTGCTACACTGTACCTTTACTGGCCCGTCTTCTTCCCACAACCCTTCTGTAAGGGGATGTCTAATTGCTTACAGATTGACTTTGGGCCTCCCCTCTGCACTCCCCCTCTCATTCACATTATAATTGTTTGCTCTGGATCTTTGATGCCTGATACCTGATCTCATTGACGCCTCACGATCACACAGGCTGGTGTGCTTTTTCCATGTGGGCTTTGTTGTTTCTCAGCTAGATGGCCCTTTGTTTACCTTCAAGCCTTTAAGACCTCAGAGGCTATATCTTTTGATAGC